GAGCATTTGTGTTCTTTTTGGTCAGCAGTGGTTTTCGCCTTGGAACTCTCCCATGGATGCCATTTTTGCCCAGTCTCGTTCCCAAAGTTGATTCATGAGCACTGACTTTAACCAAGGCAAATGAGGCCTGCAGTTCTTTAGATGTTGTTCTGGGTTCTTTTGTGACCTCCTGGATGAGTCGTCGATGTGCTCCTGGAGTAATTTTGGTAGGCTAGCCACTCCTGGGAGGTTAACCTCTGTTTCAAGTTTTCTCAATTTGTGGATAATGGTTCTCACCGTGGTTCGCCGGAGTCCCAAAGCCTTAGAAATGGCTTTGTAACCTTTTCCAGACTGATGGGGGGGCAAATACTTTTTCACATAGACCAGGCAGGTTTGGATAGCTTTGTTCCCTTAATAAATGAAATCATCATTTAAAAACTGCATTTTGTATTTACTCGGGTTATCTTTGTCTAATTTTAAAATTTGTTTGATGATCTGAAACATTTAAGTGTGACAAATATGCAAAAAAAAGAAATCAGGAAGAGGGCAAATACTTTTTCACAGCACTGTATGTATCTATTAATACAATAACCAGACATCAAGATGATGGATGAGGAGAAAGGGTTAGCAATGATCAGACCTACCTTACATCGGCCAGTTGGCTTTAGGACGGCTGAGCCGGTAACTCCAGCAGATGGTGACCACTTCTTCTGAGCTTTCTAAAACAAAGTTACAAGAAAAGTTACAAAGATCTGATTTATTTTGACAGCATTAAACCACAATTTTGTTACATCCAACAAAAATTTTTGTTTCTTTCAAAAGAGATAAAATTAGACCCACAAACTTTTGCCCTACAAAGGGGTCAAAAAACTTTTTTTGCTATTGCCTGGTGGGATCCCACACACTTTAGCCCAAAATCCCACATAAAGCCCCACAGGAGACACACAAATATTGTCATTAGTCCTGTACAGTGGCTCAGGGGGAAAAGCAGGGGCCCTTCAGCGAATGCGGCCAGTAAGCTCTCGGGATTGGTGGGCCTGGCGCATGGCGAAGGCTTCGAGGCCCACACAGCTCTTCATTTTTCACGCCGGCGCATCCATCTCGGCTCGTCCTCACACATTTCCTGTACCTCAGCTGATGGATGATCTCATTTGCAGTAAATCTCCCCACGTTAAACCCAGACATCATCACTTCTCCTCGCCTCAGCAGATATACAGACTTTGCCCCTAACCCCAGCATCCACTCCAAACAATATGTTATAGAGTGACTTATGTTTTTTCTATATATTTTTTAATCCTTGGGGCAGAAATCCGCGCGGCTCTGACTTATTCAAATATTGATATCATCCTTCGTATATTCATTATGTTTATTTTTGCAACCGCATCGATTCAGAGGCAAAATGACCGCCGCGTGTGCTCTTGCGGCAAACACTGACGCTAACTTCAAAAGGACGTCCTCCTCAGCAATGCGCTAGTTAGTATGCACTCAGAGCTTCGCATGAGCAATTCAAGGAAAGTATTTCATTCAATGCATCAGAGCGGTGCTTTACATGACATAAAACCTTCTTTTCTCATTACCCATAATAAACGATCTAATAAAGAGAAGAGCTGCAGTTATCCCACCGTGTCATACTTTCCAGGGCCCAAATATTCGCTAGAGTACAAAAAAACACCATATTTCATCGATAATATGATTTGCACCAACATGCTTATGGTAAGCTGCTTGTATCAGCCTTTTTTACAACTGCAATAACGATGACAAATTAAAGGATGTAAGAAATAAACCAGCCATTTGACATCACATCTCCCCTGGTGCATTGTGTGCCAATACAAAAACATTAGCGTAGGCTTGTAATGCGCAAAATGCGTGCACAGCACCTTAAGCCGGACTACAGACGTGTTTCCTGAAACAATTCACATTGTGCTTGACTTCACAGGTAATTACAGGTGGCATAACTCACCCGGGCTCAAATGATTGTAATGCGCACTGGTATAACTTGAACACAAAGCCAGCATAACAACTAGCAGGCATACATGGTCTGATCGTAAAATTTTCAGCACAGTACAGAATTTAAAGTAAATTTTTCAGTAAAGCTTTGTCCCGAGTACTGCCGTTGAAAGAGCTCAGGCAGAGCCTTACATGCCCTTCAAAAAAATTCAAAAACAAATGTGTATTTTTGTTTGCACAAACATTTGTCTTCAAACTGTGAAGGGAAAAATAATAGCTTATACAGTATTGAGGGCACAAATGTAATTTCATTCATGATTTGTTCCAAGTATGGGACCATGGCCATTAAAAGAAAATCTCGCAATAATTCATATGGAAAACCGATTTGCCCTTTCAGCACAGAGACATCTGAAGAATAAATGACAGACAGCCGGCCACAAAATGGATGTCCTTACTGACACAAGATGAAGAACAGGAAAAAAAGCGTTCGCCTCAGTGGTCGTGCAAGTTCAGGGAGACCAGAGCCATGTTTTAGAGACAAATCTGAAATTGAATAACTTTGGGCCAGAGGTAGTGGAGAACAAAGGCACATTGCTTGCATTGCCCATATTAGAAGGAAGAAACTTCTTCAAAAGCTGGAGAAAAAAATTGATTGAAAATAATGTCTCATCTCCATCTTAAGATAGCTGACTTAAAGAAATATTGTGCAGCATTACGATGAAAAAAAAAAACAGATTTACATTGTGAGGCTCCCTCAGAACTTTCAAAAGAACACGGAAACCCTTTTTAACACACATTGATACCTGTCCATTCTTTCCAACACTGATGGGCATTAGCTGAGCCCCCACCCTTAAGGCTCATCTGGTATTAGGACAGTCTGCTAGGTGAAGAGAATTTGGGTTATGACACCCTGAGTGCATACGGGGGAAAGATGGGGAGGCTGGGGTGGGTACTCTCTGGGTGCGTGTAAGTGTTGATTTTTAAACATTGACAAAAGTGCATATATGTAATCCCTGTACCATTTCCGATTTTACTTTTTGGTTTATTAAATTGTTATACTGGGGATAAAACTGTGGACACTTGCTACTGGCATATTTTTTGGGTTTTGTTGACTGAATGGTGTTTTGTTTTGTCTAGTTTCTAACTTCTGGTGCGGTGCCCACAGCAAAAGTCAATAAAAAAAAGTGTAAAAAAAAATGTATTGTCAATGATTTTGATTGCTGATCCTCAAATGTACTCTTCAGAGGACAGAGAACAAATGAAAAACACCAACAGACAGCACATACTGTATTCATTTTTGCAGTGAACAATCATAGACAATTTCTACTGCGCATAACTACTCTCTGCATGTTTTTCAAACATATCAAAAGCTAACACTCATATTTTTACTGCTGGATTTTGCTTGACTGGAGAGTTTCTACTCCACCACTTTAAGTTCTATTTTGTCAGCTTTCGACGTTGTTGTGGTTTTGTTCGGAACTTGAAGTCAAGTCACAATACGGCTTGAACCCCACCAAGGTATACCACAGAGGTAACGCGACAAAAATGGCCCGTTTTTTGTTTTTTTGTGAAGCTCTCAGGGTAGGACTGACCTCTGGTGAAAATCTGAAAATAAAGACACAGCCAGAGCTGAAATGGACTTAAAGCTGTTTAAAAAATATCTGTCCCAAAATAAACGTCCCACCTGGGCCCCAACCCTGCAGTTATTCTGCAGTCTAAAGGTGACTCAGGAAATGTTGTGAAATGACTTCCCACTAAAACTCTGCAACACATATAAAAAAGGCAGTTTTTTTTGCACTATTTTGTAGTGTTTTTGATAATATCAATTCAGAATTCATTTCCATTTTATTTTCTCCAAGGAACTCACAGCCTAGTTCAATTAATTATGAACACTGAATGGAGACTACACCGCATTCAACATGCTAAAATTAATCTTGAGCACCGAATGGAAACACCACAATCAACAAACTGTTTAATTTTTACACAGAGCATTTGAAGGGAGATCATTACTAAAATAAAGAAGAAAAAAAAACAGAAAATGGGAACACTGGTCACAAATCTCTCCTTTTCAAAAAAAGAAAAAGAAAATGGTGGTGGGAGGGACTCCCTGGTGGGAATAAAGAAAAACTTTTAAAAATCACAAAACTATAAACTCCCCCGTGGGAAGAAATCTTTGGAGGAGCTCAGCTCAGATACAGGACTGCATGTTCGACCCCCTGCTGTCAGTAGCTGAAGACAGGCTAAGTGGTGATAGGGAGAAAATGGAAAAATCTATCGGGGCAAATTATCAAAGTAGCTGAGCCGATTATAGACCGAGGTTTTAAATTAGCTTCTAAAATATAGAGTACCAGCACAGAAACGTCTAACAAAGGGTTGATAAAAAAGGCCACCAATTTATTTATTTTTTTTTTATTTTATGTGGTGGATTTAGTGGTTTGTGGATGTGTGTGACAAAGAAAATGCATATCAATTAAGGATATTTTTTCTTTGTTTTACTTTTGTTTTATGATTCAGTTTTGCTTGACTCAGAGGTGCATACACCAATCAGCCACAACATCAAAACCACCAGCCTAATATTGAGTAACTCCCCCTTGTGCTCTGTCAAACTGACGCCCGCTTGAATTCCCGAGCTCAGAGTTTCCCAGCAGAACATTTCTCAGAGCATCACACTCTGGCCACCAGCTTGGCTTCTTCCCATAGTGCATCTCGGTATCATCTCTTACCCAGGTAAAAGGTGTATACAGACCAAGCCGATGCATGTGATACTAAAACGGACCTCGCCAGTCAAGATGACTTTCTTCAACTGCTTAAAGGTCCAGTTTCAATGCTGAAGTGCCTATTGTAGGCACTTTTTCAGGTGAGTAAGTCTGTTCCGAGCCTAGTGGGCCATCAGACCGGTGCTTAACACCGGCTTCTGTGGCATGACGCGACTAGGAGTATTGCTACTCCCCCTGGATGGGATGCCCCAGCTCTGGGTCAGATTTCCCTGACAATTTGAGGGTACCCATTTGTACACCTGGGTGGAGTGAGGCAGTGTGAGAGCGAAGCGCTTTTGCTCAAGAACACACTGCGAAGGCCATGGCAAGGCCTCGAACTGAGGACCACTTGATCCCAAGTCAAGTCTACAAAACCACTGCGCTACCGCGTCTCCTTTTTCAGGTAGACCAGGGTTAGTATTGGCATTCCAACTGGTCTTCAGTAACAAAAAACTGTATGCAGCAATGATTCACACGTATCATTAAAATTCCCCACATCTTGAGTCACAGTAGCCCTCCAGTTCTGACCTGAAGGTATAGTCATCATTGCCCTCCTGCATCGATGAGCTTTGGGCGCCAAACACCGTTTTAGGGTAAATCCCTCCTTTGACCACTGTCAGTAAGTATTCGCCACTACTGACGGTGAGTACCCCAAAAGGCTTGCCGCTTCGAGGACCCACTTTCTGGCCCCTGTCAAAGTTGCTCAGGTCCCATGTCTCCCACATCCAACTCTTACACAACTCTGTTTCACTGCCGTTCGACACGCGCTGTTGTTACGAGCTAATCAACGTCAATTGCATCATCTGTTTGTGGGTTTGGTGTAAAATAAAAGCTGTTCAGGGTCTAACACATTCTGGTTTGATATTACTCTGAAAATGTCGCAAAAATCAGTTTTATTTGGCAGGTAGTCTTAGTTTTTACGGTTATATTTTGCACAATAAAATACCCAGAGATAGACCAACTGTTTACCAGACCGTTAAATGTGAAGTATCAAACAGATTGAACATGAAGCCTAAAAAAAATCGTTAGATTATAAAATGAGGGAGGGGGATGCAACCTCATCTCAGAAGAATTTTAAGGTGTCTGTGTCTGATGAAGACTTTTGCCATCACCAAAGCAACCAGGGTAATTTTGAGCGAGGGCAATCGTCCTTGTAACAGCGGATCCAGGGCAGAACATGTTACTCACCTCATCAACCTGTTTCGCAGAGCCGAGCACCTGCACCGCCATCGGATAAAGGGGCCCCCCGGTCTCTACACAAGCTCTCCCGCAGGCTTGTTGACTGAGCCGTTGATAGCGCCTCCGGAACATTTTTTCCTGGTTTGGTTCGTTGACACCATGCTTAACACTGCTACAGCCTTGTTGTTTAATTCCCCCCGGTGACCGAATCGTGAGTGGCTTTATGATTACAAAGTGACTTGGGTCTAAAGATTTGTCCTGACAAACAGACATTTTCAGATTATGACGGCACTATGCGCGAACTCAACAGCGGACATTAACAATGTTTTGCGGCTCTGCTAATCAATACAGCCGGGAAAAATATAACTGAACTCCGGCCACAAAAAACAAAACGACGCATTCGTTAAGTCTCAGTTGCCTCTTTTATTTAAGAGACAAACATGTAAGATTCTTGATCCATCAAACGCACCATTGCATTCTGCGCGCAGCTAGTTGTCACAATACAGGCTCGCACATTGCCATACCCCATGTTTTGTTTTCCTTGGTTACCGTGGGTAGAAACTTATGTGAAGCAATGCAATGTCTTCGTCTAGCTTGATTAAATCCTGTGCTGTTCAACTATTCTCCCGAAAAGGAAACGGCATATTTAATCATCATTAAAGGGGGAGGTGAAGGACGCTCCGTTAAGAACAGTGATCACATTCTGTTATATTATAACGAGTTTATTATTGTGCAGGATGCTGACGAATAAAGTAGCATTTTGTTGTGTCTAATGAATGAACAGTAGCAAATTTAGTCGCTACTTCACAAAACTGAAAATCACTGCAACACAAAACTGAAAATTATTTAAAGGGTCATTGTACCCCCATTATTAGGTTATTTTGAAAATACTGTCGGGAATTTAACCCAATTCCGGAATGAAGTTGGTACATTATAGAAAGGCGAATAAAAGGGGTGATTTGAAAAGTCTGCTGACCCCCTACTTTATTGAAAACACCACAACGGCTAATTACTGAGGCTTTAACTTGTTATTGCAATTGTTTGCGCAAAATCTATGCGTATTTCAAATCTGCTGACTTTACCAGAATCCAAAAAAGTTGGCGCTGAGGCAATTTGTAACTAATACTGATGTAATAAGTAACGATAGTAAGGTGATGTGTGACAAGTTAAACAGGTGAGATAATTGTGTGAATGTATAAGCCTCCGAATACTGCCGCCTTGTTCTCCGGATCAAAGACAACATAGACAACTCAAGCTATTATCATCGGCAGGTCCAGAAGGCAGCATCTGCCATGGAATTGAGTGTGTATGTACAAGTAGCATAGGTGACTTGGACATTAGCGAGGGCACTATTAATGTGCATTGAAAGAAAGATATTAACCCTAGAACACTATCGCTAAAATTAGGAACACCATCACTAACGCCGGGTGATTTTTACCCAATATAATATACCCAATAAAACGTACTTGTCATCAAAATATATCAAAATATGACAATACATGACAAATTAGAGTAGTGTTCTTTTATTTTCAACTGTGCCATGTCTAACAAAATGAAAAAAGTACCATGAGGTAAACAAAACACCCATGCCTTCAAAGATGTCAAAGACGATGCTGAAGCTACCCAGGGACCCATGACACTCAGACAAACGCAACATAATGAAAATCACGTGAACACGTTTGCTCGGGTGAAAATCACCCGCGATTAATGAATTTTGCAGCGACATGCTGCCTCTTAGATGTTGTCTGCTGCAGGGACTTTCTTTATTTTTTGGCAAAATAATGCCAAACCACAGTATGATTGGATTACAAGTGAATGGCTGTGTAAACAGAGAGTATGAGTCTTAGATTGGCCTGCCTGCAGTCCTGATCAGTCTCTCATTGAAAATGTTTGGTGCTTTATGAAGCAAAAAATATGGTCACAAAGGTCCCGAAAACCAGCGCAGCAGCGGACCTGCATACTGGTTGGATGGAGGAAAATTCCACTCGCTGGACTTGACTGGCTGGTGTCTTCAGTGACCAAAGGCTTAATGAGAGTGAATAAAAGATATTGTGGTGTTACACAGTGGCTAAAGGTGAACTGTGCCAACTTTTCTGGATTCTGCAGCAATTATCACTGTGTACATTTTCAGTGAGAAATAAAATTAACATTTTAGATAATCAGAAAATGTGTTGTACTGTTTTCAATGTAAAATTATTTTATTTGCATATTCCATGATATACCAACTTTTCCAGAACTGGGTGTATACATTTTCTGCTGGGATGTAAACTAAAAAAAATCTCATCTATAATAAGCTATGATGAATGGAAAATCATTGTATTGAGGACACATTTGAAATGTAAATCTATTTGTTCAATTTTTTTTGTAGATTTAATGTAAAAAGATGATGCTGACAAAAAAGTTATAACCACACCTCAATACGTTTTGATTTAATTTTGAACTATTCTAAGATTTTGTTATAAATTCCAGACAATTCTCAGTTCTGGAAGTGTTTTGCAGTCCTCTTTCTCTCTTAAAGTCCAACAAGAACTGTCACCCATACAGTAACCCTACATTCTCAATCCTAAAATGATTCTTAACCTGTCTGTAGATAATTTATTAATACTATTGGCCTGTTTTTGACTCAGTATTTCTCATATGCTCTGCTAATTTTAGCTTTGTGTAGCTAGGGGAGGGAACGACTATCCCTAACCCTGACCCTGTCCTTCTGAGAGGGCTGGGGGAGAGCCTTAAGGGGTGATCTGGGTTAACTGAAAAATGACACCAGGAAACAACTCAGAATTAATCTAAAGAGGTATATGTAATAACCACCAAAAAAGATACAAGTTGGCATTTTTCTGTTTATGTGGTTGCCATGGTAACCGAGCAAGCTCATTAAATATGCAGAAAACTTCTGGCACCAAATCCTCTTTAACTTTATGATAGAATTCAGTTTTTCCTTTCATCATGTAAAAGCCATTGCTTATCCAAATGCAATGGCATAGCCCTTCTTTGCCCAATTGATCAGTTTTGTGATTTTGGGGCATTTTACTCAAATTTTGAAATTATTTTGTGCGGAATCTGACGAATACTCAAAATATTCAAAGTATGTAACAGATAGGGAAATTTTCCCTATGTCATTGCATTTCTAATGAAGTAAAGTACCTGCAGCCCAAATTTCATTGATTTTCAATGATAAATAAAAAAGTTATGGCTGCCACAAACATGAGAAACGTGGAAAAAGTAATACCTTAGGAAATCAATGGAAAATGCATTAGACCGTTTTGAAAAGTTGAGTTCAGTCTAAGTCTGTGGCTTACACCCATTTTTCAGACTGTATTATCTGATTATTCAAATATTTATCACTTTCCCGGAGTGAAAATGTGAGGTAACGCTCAGGAACCAGTCGCAAGAACCAAGCAATGCAGCAGATGTGATTTTATTGAGCGAGGGGGAAAACCCCCGCAGGGCAGAAGGCAACAGTACAAAGTCCACAATCCAAAAATCACAATCCATAAGGGCAGAATCCGAGTCATAAACCAGGGCAGCAATCACAGTACTCGTGGTCGGGCAGAAAAAGGGTTCAATAATCAGATGCAGACAAAATACCAAAACAGATCCAAAAATCGTAAATCGAGGACGGTCCAGTCAGAATAGAATCACGAAGAGTACGAGGCGAAACCAAGAGTAGGACAGGCAAACCAAGGGAAACGTTCTGATGGGGAACTGCTGTGAGAAGACTGCTTAAATACACACAAGGGAAGTCACATGCTATGATTAGGGACAGGTGAAATGGATCAGACTAATTACGAGGGAGCAAACACGAGGGAGAACCTAACCCCATGAAATTGGCAAAAGCCAAAACGCGGACAGGGATCACGAGACAGCCTATTGACACACAGCTCCGGTTAGGGAGTTCTAACGTGCACAGATAATGAGAGGCAGAACAGAGTTAAGCAGGTGCGGAGGATCCGCTGAAAAGCAGCAAAGTAGATTAAGTGAAGGCAAGAGGCGGAGACTAGAACAGGCGAAAGTGCTGAGCTTGTTAATCAATTAGTAAGGTGCAGCTATACAATCCCTAGTGCTCGTTAGTAAGTTAGTATAATATACAATGTTAGTTCTGGTTAGTATCATTAACCAAATAACAAACTGTTAGTACTTGTTAGTAAAATAGAAAAGCAAGGTGAAGGAAGCAAACAAGATTAGAAGGAACTATGAAAACACAGAAACCATG